TTCTATATATATTTATATTACACGTAGGTGTTTAAAAATAAATGAACATGCAACATATTTAGAATAATATTATTAACCAACATTTCTTTATTATAATCGTTCTATTTTTAAATTGCTCCAACTTCATTATTTAGGTAATAAAATTTATTTCAATAAATAAAAGAAAAATCATTTTGGTAATATATAATTTATATACTTTATTTTTCTATTCTTAAAAAGCATATCAATAATAACATGCGTCCGTAGAAAGAAAGAAGAAAAAAAAAAGAGTAAGTAGTATATATATGTTAAATTTTGGTGCAAAAATTTCTCACCATTATATTATATTTTCAAAAACTGATGTACAAAAAATGTTCTTAACTAATCAATAAAATATTGTGTCTGTCAAAGTGTGTGAGCAAAATAAGGATGGAGGTATATATGTATATTGCATGAATATTAACCTAATTGTATTCCTGTATTAAACACACCTCTATAGTTCTTAAATTTCTTTCATTTTTTTATAATGTCGGCCTAACGCAATAGTTACCCTTAATGTCATTATTTGGATAAATTATTATTGAATTAACATTATAATTCACAATAACATTAGTTAAAATCGTGCGTTGCACGGGACTTAAACTAGTAAGATAAATAAGTTACAATAATAGTAGTATGAAATCAATAGGTCATAATTATATGTCATTTTTTTTTTTGGAAACATAATTATATGTCATTTGCTTCTTCTTTTTCCTTCATTTTTTTAGGATGGTATAAATAGTACGTCTAACCAAAGCAAAGTTTGATCTTGTGAATTGTAAGGTCGTACGGATAGTACTTCATACTCCGTATATACCTAGCGTATATCCTTCACAATATAAGATGATGTTCTTTACTTCTTTACGTCATTTTGGACTAGGGAAAATACGGAGTACAAATAATTTTGTGTAAAGAGATTATTGAAAGTTTGGCACAACCCGCCAAAAATTAAAAAGAGAGGTAAAATGTCAGCTTCCAAAAAGTTATACTCTGTAAAAGAAACATAATTTCATCAAATCCTCATTGTTTATCACTAATTAGTACGTAGTAATTACTTGTTACGTGGTCAATCACTTTCAAGATAATACTCAGTATAATAATGAAAACATTTGGTAAATTTCTATTTATTGAATAACTACCAAAGATTATGAACTCGTAGCTGAAAATTAAACCAACTAATTAAAACAACCTCAACTTATAGGAGTGTTCTAAATATTAAATTAAACTTAGGATTTTATAATGATATTTATATGTTAACATTTAGCCTAACTTTAATCATAAAAGCGTGCTTTAACGATCACTTTGATTTTCCTTGATTCAACCACATTTGAAAAGTATGGTAAGGTTTCAATTTAAAACCTTTTTAAAGCACAATTAAAAAATTCTGTATCAACCAAGTATTTAATCTTTCAACCACCTTAATTAACATAACTCACTGAGGATTTATTTTGTGTTGTATGTTCATGCTAATATGCGTACATGGTACATGTAGGGTTGATTAAATAAAAAAAGAACTACGTAAGTCCCTTTGTTTCTAGTTAATAATAGTTTTATTTGTAATTTTATAGATACCAATATATGATAATGTATTTTAAAACTCTTTTGATATTGTATGAGATAATAATAAAGCATGCTCATATAGGATCTTGTTTGATTTGTCTAAATATGTCGTTCATAATATTAACTTTTTATTTGTTTATATTATTTATAATGAAAACAATGCAAATTAAAATGTTACATTGAATAGTGTATAAGTGTGTAATAACAATAAGTAAGCAATCATACCTAGAAAGACCCAATGATATGCAATGTTGGGTACGGTTCTCCCGAGTGGCTGAGTAGTACTAGTAGCTACGAAGTATTAAATAAAATTTTAAAAGAGACAACTAATGTGTAAGAGTAGCATATTATTAATTATAAGAGACAATAATTATGAATGATAGCAAAGTACAGTTGATGAGGGGATTAAAACCCTTATTAGAGTATATTGGCGTTGAACATTTATCTGTGGTCATGATTGCAAGATCCAAAGGAGTTCTCTAATTTATATTATATACACAGTACAACGAAAGATATACCAATGCACATTAATTAACTACATACTAATGTACTACTGGCCACATCTAAAGATAAAGAAATTTAAAAGTGCTTTGAAATTGCTTGAAAGTTGTACACTAGCCAAAATGCTACTCACTCCATTCCTTTTTGTTGATTAAGCTTTTACCATTTTTTCTCACAAAAAGAGTCTAAATATAATAAACAAATAAGAACTATCAAAGTCCATAAAGAGTATTATTTTCTTAATTAGATTCTGTCAATTTGATGTTGTACAATAATCCCAAATGCTAGTAATTTACTTGTACCAATTTCAGTTAAAGAGTACTCCGTATTACGAATTATTTTCTTAGATGGCGCAATTTGGTTCAAATGTCATTAGAGCCTGCCATAAGGAAAAATAAGTTCAAATACGGGTTATCCTTAAGGTAAATAATTATGAAAATTTGATATTTGAATATTACATGGTGAAACGATTCTAATAGGATCACAAGTTATAATTTATACTAATATATTAAAAAGCGTTCTTAAGAACGTCTATGTGTCATGTATACCGCTTCATTATGCCACGACAAGTTACTTGTCTCTCTCTTCCATTTGTTTCTCATTGCATCTCATGTACTTTTAATTAAAAAAAAATTATCCACACGATTTGAACATACTACAGCCTCTAATTCTAGAATTGAGTGTCTTACCACCAAACTATGTGATATTTTATGTTATCATTTGAATACATAATATTAATATGTAGCAAATGACAATATGATTAACAAATTTAATTACAAGGAAATTAAGTCATAAATTAAAACATATATTAATGATCAACCCCATGTAATGACCCTGGACATAACCGAGGCCCAAAAACTAGTTTTTTTTTTTTTTTTATAAGTGGCCATAGGCGGTCAAAGTTTATTTTCAGAGGAGGATTGCCCTTCGTGATAGAGAAATTCATTCGTCTCTCAAACAAGATTTAGTAGAACACATATGGCAGAACTTTCGTCATAATACGGCCGAATAAGCAAAGTTGTAGAATGTAATCGTATCGTGTTTAAGTTTTAATACTCGTCCACCTGTATTATTTTAGCTCAAACCGCTTTTATTAAGTTCGTAAACGTACTGTTATTTAATATCCGATGTATTTGTATTGTCGTTTATGTGTTCATTTCAAAAATGTGCTTCTTATTATGTAATCGTTTAAGTTTAAGAAAACATCTTTCGTACAATCTATAATTGCTGTAATTTTTATTAATTATTATATTCTAATAAGAGCGTAAAATTCAAAATTATATTGAAAATGTTCTTTTTATTAATTTTACCCGTCATTAAATAAATACAAATATAAAACAAAAAAAATAAAAATTTACCAAAATAATTAAAAAATTATTAAAAAATATTACATTACAATTAAAATGTAATGAAAAAAAATATTACATATTTTTAATTGTATTGGAAATTTAAATATGTAGTATAAACATTATTAAAAAAAAGGATAAAAAAAAGGTGATGTGTATTTATGGTGGGGTATAGTAAATAGTGGAGGATAAAGTGATGAGGAGTTTTTTTTTTAGAGCATTGGTGTAGAAAAAAAAAACCTCTCATGAGAGGAATTGGATGGGAAGAGAGAGAAAGTGGGTAGAGAGAGATTGAGGGGTTTGTTTTCTCCTCATTGCTGATAATGGTCTCATTTAACTTTTGTACTATTCACACTCAAATTGATTGTATTTGTAAACTTTTGTTAGATTACTAACAACATACTACAATTCATGGGGTCAAACTAAATAAACTTTGACCGCCTATGGCCACTTATAAAAAAAAAAACTAGTTTTTGGGCCTCGGTTATGTCCAGGGTCATTACATGGGGTTGATCATTAATATATGTTTTAATTTATGATTTAATTTCCTTGTAAACCCAAGCCGTAGGACAATTCTTCCACTCCCAATGCATGCAGTCTATACTACCAATCATGCCTGGAAACCCACGCAATTCATTTTGATGAAGGATTCTCCTTAAATCTTCATCTGTAGGTTTACGTAGATATTCACTTTCAAATTGTGAAATAACCCCCTGACAAAAATGTTGCAATGCATTCCTTGAGGTTGTTTGGCTGATACGTAGATATTCATCCACGACATCGGGGGCTACGCCATACGCTAACATTCTTATTGCAGCGGTGCATTTCTGCAACGGTGATAAACCAAGCTTTCCAGCTGCATTCGGACGTTGTTGGAAGAATTGATCCCCTTAAACCACCTTATTCATAATGCGACAGAACAAAGATCTTCGCATACGAAATCTACGGCGGAATTGGTTGTCGTTATACACTGCATTACTCGCAAAATAATCGTTATATAGTTGTACATGCCCTTTTTCTCTTTCCCTATCCCTTTTAGGCTCCGGGACATTTGCTATATCATTATTAAGCTGGGATTCTTGTGATGAGTGTTGGGGAATTAAAATACGAGGTAGGTGGTTAGCAGCATAATCATCAACTAACCGATAAAATTCAACGTTATTTGAGAAATCAGAAGAACTAGAGCTTGAGGTGGAGGAAATGAAAGACATGTTTTGGTTATGGTTTGATAGTTGGTTTGTTTGGGATTCTTTCCGTTTTGAATAACACTTGCATGTATATATAGTCCAAGTGACTATCAATGCATGTGAGTTGCTCTGATTTTGCATGTGAGTAACTCTGAATTGAAATTCATGTATCATTGCAATCTCTGCAATGAAATTGATGTGTCATGCATGTATATATAGTCCATATGACACTTCAATGCAATCTCTGCAATGAAATTGATGTGTCGTTGCACTCTGAATTGCAATTGAATTATAGATGCATGTGATGTATGACACTTGAACAGTTGATTTGACTCTTCAACATAAAGCTGTGGAGATTTTATTGGGAGATGTTTATTTGTCATTAACCATTACATGTGATTTTTATTAAAAACAAATTTCATAAAGTAAATAATTTACTGCATAATTAATGTTATAAAAAACATAATTCACTTCACATTAATGTAAATAAAAAGGAGTACATCTTAACATTAATTAAAATAAAAAGGACTACATTAAACATTAATTAAATAAAAACAGTAGCAAACACATTAAGCTGATCTAAATTACATGTTCCTTCTACCATAGAGTAGTGCACGTAATTCTTCCTTGTAAGCCTCTTCATCAGGAGTTAGGTCCGGTCCCTTTGCCATTAGATCTTGCAGCATTTCGTAGTTAAGCCTTCTCTCTTGAATTTCGACTTGTTTTTGGTGAAGCTCTACTTGTTTTTGCTTCCTTCTTTCCCTTTCCATGTCGAAATCCATCTTCTTCAACCGCATTTGTGCCTCGATTTCCCTCGTAGCATTATTCTGCTGCATTTGCTCGGTAATGTTTGAGACGTCAACAACCACTCCTTTTCCCTTATTACGCCTGGACTTTTCCTTTTTAACGCCATCAGGTCGAGCAAGACCCCCAGAAGTGAAACCGGTAACGTGAACAACATCTTCATCATCAGTTCTACACCGCTTTTCACTTCCACTACTGTCATCCTCGACAGCATCACCGCAAGCTAATCTTTCCTCTCTTGACAACGCCCATCTCAGTTTTGTCCTCCACTTCGGATCATTTTTAACCATTTCCCAACCATGGTGACAATTAAAATTATGTGGAGTAGGCTTGGAGGAAATATAGAATAACTTACTTGCATTATTAATTCGGTCTGCTTCGTTGTAACCACTTCCAGTTGCCCTACCAGCTTCGTCATAGCAACTACTCCATTGTATTAAATCAGTTGCCATCCTTCTCCAACGGCTTTCCAAACTCCTCAAAGGTCTTGGCGGCAGGATGTGGGGTCTCTCAGCCTGTGCTTGATCATATGCTGCAGATATTTTTCGCCATAGCGCAGCTGCTTTTTGGCTTGTACCAACAATTGCATCCTCACTGAATTGAAGATACAAACCAATTAGAGCTTCATCCTCCGCAACAGACCACATTCGACTTCCTTTTGTTAGTGGTTGGTTTTGATTCACAGACACTCTTGAAGGAGGTGGAGAGTATTGAGGAGTGTCTGGAACATTTTCTTCCATTTCATCATCTAATTGAGAATCGGTGCCTTGATAAACAAGAGGTGAATGTGGTTCATAGGTAGTGTTTTGGAAAGGAGTTTGACGAGGTGTTTGTTGTGTTGAATTTTGCAAAGAATTGTTTCCAAGCCTTTGTAGGAAAAGCTGAAATCGAGGATTAGTGACAAAATCATCACCCAAATCAGAGAAATGATTAGAAAAATTAGGGTTATTAGGATCCATAAGTTAATAGAGAAGAAAAGTAATAAAGCTTTTTATTTTTGGAAAAATAAATAAAGCTTTAAACAATAATTAGTAAAAAAATCAACAATTACTAAAAGAACAAAAACTAAACTATATTTTCAAAAAATAAAAACAGCTACAACAGCAATAATATTAATGATAATTATAATAATAATAATATGATAATAACAATAATAATAATAATAATAATAATAATAATAATAACACTAATAATAATAATAATAATAATAATAATAATAATAATAAAATTTTTTTTTTCAGAAAAACGTAAATAATAATTATAATAATAAGAAGTGAGGATTAGGAAATTAGTGAATATAGGAGATTTTTGGTGTTTTTGAAAGTATATCAAAATATATCAAAATGCATGTCTATTTATAGAGAAAAAAATTTTATGGCCGTTGGTGAATTTTTTTTTTTTTTTTTATATATTTTTAACGGCAATATTACCGTTTTTTTAATATAACCGTTGGGAAAATCAGAAAAAATCTGATTGGTGGAAGCAATTGATGCGTGTCGCAAGCCCATTGGCTGGCCTGACGCGCGTCAGTTGCCAGGGAGTTCAAATTTTTTTTGCTGAGAAAACACCAAAACGACGTAGTTTTGGCCTGGGAATGCACAAAACACGTCGTTTTGGACGTTTTCTCAGCCATTATAATGGGCTTGCGTCAGATTTTGCTGGGTCCCACCAATTTACTGTTCATTCTCATTTCTCCTCTAATCTTGTGTGTTTTTGGTTCTCCTCAACCGTGAGAGCTATTTTCCTCACTGATGTAGTGTTCGGGTTTTTTTTTACACCTTAATTTTCACTCGTGAGGGCTTTTTCCCTCATTGCTGGGAGTGTTCTGATACACTTATTTAGAAATGGAAAGGAGTATTACTTATTAATTTTTCTTTCAAGTGATAAATAAAAGACCAAAACTGTGTAAAAAAATGAAAGATATGAGTCCAAAACTTTTTATTTCTACATATTTTTTTTGTTCATTGCAAATCATCAAAAGGCTTGAAAATAACATTTTTTGGGTAGTACACTTTAAAACGAATCTAACAAGATCTAAAATTAATAATGCTTATTCTTTATATACCCTAACTAGGCCTTAATCCTTTTTTTTTTTTGGGCGGGTTATACATACACTTTTAATAATATGAGGGGGAAGGGTAAGGAATCCCCACCCTTAGAGTGTCTCTTATCGTGATCATAAAGTATTGGATAAGTCCGAGTCACGATTACCCTTTCCACTCAATATATAGAAATAAAAAATGTCTAATAACTTATATGAAATTTTCAATAACTTATGTCAAAGAAATAATATCTTTTTTTTTTTTGAGGGAAAGAAATAATATCTAAATAGTCAAGATCGATGTTCAAAATTTATATGAAATGTTCAATAACTTATGTCCATCTCACTCAAATCCGGACTCATTCAATAATAGAATTAAACTCCCAACTATGAGGCTAGAAGGTGTAATATTTCCTACTAAACCAATCTTTCTCAAGGTAGTTCATTTATTAGATAAAATCAACGTTTTCTCTAGAATCAAATACTAATACGGAGTAGATCATAGCTATTCCTAAAATCAAACACAAACAGAGTACCTTATTTTTAGTTGATTGAACAATTTCTTAAATTGATTAATTTTTCTTTTTTTTTTGACAAGAAATTGATTAATTTTTCTAGCACACCCTATTTTGCAAAAAAAGAAAATAAAAAATTGGTGATGGTAAATGTTTCGGGGTTTTCTGATGTCCTGCGGGAGAGTTACAATTCCGAGACTGGAACCGGACGCCTGTACCTGCAAAACAACGGAGACTCCTTGTGGTGGGAGCTCCGCCTCCAACGATCAAGTTAGTACTTGTTTAAGGAGTAATTAATGCGGAAATTAAAGTGATTGGGTCTCTCTAGGTGAGAGTGTTTAATGTAGGTAATCTGCTTTTTTAGCGTGATCAGCCTGTAATCCCCCTTAATGAGGATTAAGGGAGGTATTTATAACCTCGGGAAACGTGCCAATCTAGGTTTAGGTTAACCTTGGGCTGATTGGGCTTCCCTCGGAAGTTGGGCCTAGGTGACCGGTTATCCCAGGTTTCATGGGAAGGACACGTGTCGTGTCGTAATTGGTCCATGGTGGACGGATCATTGCTTGACACGTGGCAGGCTCCTATTGGCCCATGTGACGGACACATGGCGGAACCTGATTGGTCCACTTGTCAAATGGTGATTGGTGGGGAAAAATCCCCTAATCATTTGCCCCTCACAAGTGGCACGTGACTGGTCACGTGTTACCTGTGACAGGTGTCACCCTGTAACAGGCGACGGCCTGCTACAGGTGTCACTCGGCGAGAGGCCGAGAGATTCTCCCGCCAAAATTTTGAATTCTGGAAGTGACCCTTCGCCTTCTCACTTCGCCTATATAAAGGAGTGTTGACTTCGGTCATTTTCACACTTCAAAACTTTGTGAGAGAACATTCGGACCCCTGAACTTGCTCTGACATTTTGGACCCTTTCTGCCTACCGCCTGCTCTGACAAGCCGACTGCAAAGGATTTTCAGAACTTCATCAATCGTCACTCGTTCAGGTAACCGTCGGTTCTCTTACTCTTAATTTTCTCTTTACTTTATTCTTTTTTGAAATGGCACCACGGAAGCACACGACACGACCTAGGTTATTGATCAGCCGGTCACCGGGGACGGCTGAATCTAGGACTAGGAGTGTCGCCTGCCCTTTTCTGGACCCATCTTTGCCCTTTATACAAAGTCCGACTGTATCTGTGTCTATGCAGAGCATGATGGCCAGAACAAAAAAGACTGTCAGGATCTCAAATTCAGACGGCTCCTCCCACAGGGTGCCGATTAGTGAAACATCTGACCAGGCGCCAGATGTGGAAGTGAAACAAAGCGGCTTGAAAGTCGGCAGTTCTGAGGGAGGAGTCAAAGTGACCCCTTCCCATTTACAGTTGACAATTCTACATTCTCTCCTGCTCCTTTTAAAGGAGAGGAGGCGGGCCCCTCCGGGAGAGGGGAGGAGTCGTCCTCTTCGGACTCGTCAGAGGACGATTCCGAGTCTAGCTCTTCTGGCCATGCTTCCCTGGACACAGAAGAGAAAAACAGTCGCCTACAAGAGGCGAGGATTTCTCACGCAGTTGAGAAGGGGGACGATTGGGCGGAGCCATCCGCCTCTCACCGAGAGCAAAATACCCCCTACTACTGCACGGTACCTCGGGGCCGGATCACGGCCATGCAAGAGAAAGTGGAGAGCTTTATCGCAAACCACACAATGGGCCCCGACTTTTTAGTGTTCGTGCCGGATCCAGAGGACACAGTCGTCTGGCCGGCTGGTACTAGTTATGATGGCGCCTGCTTTGGCTGCTACGAGGCGGCCATTAAGGCTGGGCTGCGCTTCCCACTACATCCGGCTGTTCAGCGGATCTTGGATGGGTATGAGTTGGGGTTATGGCAGTTAGCCCCGAACTCCTGGGTCAACGTACTCGGCTATGTGGCCGGGTGCGAACTGCACGGGGTGGAGCCGAACTTCGAGGCTTTCGCCCACATGAACTACCTCAGCCGGACCCCTAAGGCAGGCGGTACCGGCTGGTATCAATTGACGAGCCACAGGGGCTACCTCATGACGAGAGGTAAAGCAAACAAATGGAAGGATTGGCGGAGCACCTTCCTCATCATTGAGAGTTCAGACACAGAGCTTAACAAGCGCTTCAACAGGTGGAACAGGAATTTGCCCCTTCTTGCAGGCGGCCGCAGCATGCCGCCTGTTCCCCCCAAGGCTAAGAAAGAGATCCTAGATAAAGGACTCTTCAAAGTAGAGTCGAAGGTGAACTCTACTTCAGGGGTACGAGAGCAAGTACCCCTGCACTGCGTCCCGAGCTTCAAATGGCTCTACGACGAGTACTTTTTGGCCGCCTGTGGCCTCAGCAGTCGGTGCTCAAGAGGTAGCCGGCCTGTCGAATACTCTGCTGTTCCGTGCATTTCTTGTTATGACTTTTATTAACTTTGCTATTTGTTTTTGCAGCGGACGCCATGAGCAAAATTACCGCCTCCAAGACTGCGGCGGCCATGTTGCGGGCCTCCATCATGCAACAGTCTTCAATCGACTCCCCCAACAAGGGGGCACCCTTGGTGGGCTTCGAACCTTACACCCTCTTTTTGGAGTTGGGTTTATGCATATACTGACTTTTCTTCTTTTTTAGGCGGGCGCTCCAAGAGCTTCTTCTTCCCAACAGCCGGACCCCAAGGCCCGGAGGACGACTGTTGGGAGCTCTCCTGGTTCTGCCAGGAAACATGCGGCGGCTGAGAAACAGCCGGCCACTTCTTCTAAAACTCCAGCTGGGCCACCTAGAAGTATGAAATTATCCTTGTAAATTTTAGACTTGCTCCCTTCTTTACTAGGTCTAATCCGTTTGTTTATGCTTGATGCAGCCGGCCCTCAGGAGCCTGACTTGGTCGAGGTGGCCAAGTCTATGATCAAGGTCGTTCCTCCAGCTGAAAGGGAGGCGGTCAGGGGTGTCGGCACCCTTGACCTAGACGGGATTGCAGGGGTCCTTGCTGAGGTATACTTAGCATATTTTTGAGTATTTGAATTCCAGGACGCCTGTTTTCTTTTTTGTTTGGAAACTGACGCCTGTTCCCCTTTTAACTTAGGCCCTGCTCCGAGTGAACGGCCTTCGCAAGCCGCTTGACCGGAAGAACAAAGAGGTAAAGGCTGCAAAAGCTATGGCCGCCTCTGACTGTGATAAGGCAATGTTTCAAATTGCCCAAAATGAAGTTCTGACCATTGATATTCTTTATTATCAGGCGCAGGCTACCGCCGCTATCCGGGCTCAGTTAGAGGCGGCCCAGAAGAGGAATAGCGAGCTGGAGGCGACCATCAACAACCTCAAGGCGGAGCTGA